GGGACCTCACAGTTCTACCCGGTGTTAACGAAATGAAGCCTGCTGGAAACCGGGTCCAGCGTCCCACGACCGCCCAGTCTCAATAGGACAAACTCCTCAAGCTAACCTTGAAGCACAGAAAAAGGCGGCTGAACTAATCGATAATAAACCTCTCCAGTCCTTCAGCCTATAACATGATAACCTTGCAGCACAGAAGAAGAAGTGCAACGCCGGCATGTTTCTAACGCCGAAACACTATTGGCAGAGAACTACAAGTTATAATCTGTAGAATTCAAAAAGGCGCAAGGCAATTCACACAGAATTTTACGTCTCCCAGAAATAGAGAACAATCCTACAGCAGTTAATTAATCACACCTGCAAAGGTAACCCTATTACCCTCCCTATTCCACTACCCTGCAAGAAGCCTGATCTGCCATGACGGGTTTCCCACCACGCACCCTTGGACCTTCATAGTTTTAGCGGACACAATGGGTACAGCTCAAGTTTGCTCCTCACCGGTTCTCTCATAGCATCTAACCAATAGCGTTCCCACCGCCTCTTGATACCTTCATAGGCTCATAGTGCTCAAGATGGCGCCGCTATCAGAAATTCCCTGGGTTTCACCCTGACTATAGTGCCGATTGCTTTGTTCCCACATTCATTAACTGCTGTACCGAGCTACCCTTTCTCCTACTCTGTTCCCACATCCTGCAAAGAGCCTGAGCTGCCATGACGGGTTTCCCACCACGTACCCTTGGTCCTTCGTGGTTTAGCGGACACAATGGGTACAACTCAAGTTTGCTCTTCACCGGTTATCTCGTGCCTCCAGTAACGTTCCCACCGCCCTTTGCTACACTCCCACTGCTCAAGGTGACGCTGCTACTAGCAATTCCACGAGTATCACAGTTCTATCACCAGATTACCTTCATTTCCAATCATAGGCCACCGTACCCCCTTCTCACAAAGCTACCAAAAACCATACTAATAACAACGGCCACAAATAGAAGGCCAAGACAATTCCCATGCTAACCCTAACAACTATTCCACAAACGAACTCAATTAACCCAATTTAAAACATACCAACTTTAAGCTAAACATAATAATATTGTCTCCAGAATTAACAATTAAAGAACAACCAATCCAGATTTTAACATATTAATCTACGAAGAGGAAGAATTGCAAGACCCAACTATGGCAGTACACCATTTAGCCCAACTAATTTCTTAGAATTTTCCAGATATTGCCATGAACATATCAGGCAAAATACCCTGAGAAGGTCACCAACCACAGAAACGGTCTGCAAAATACCAACAGCAAAAACTATCCTAATGAACAAACAGAACCCAAACCAATTTCGAAAATCTGCAAATACCAAACAACARCATCAATTAAAAATCCACTATCCTATGGATAATGACTCGCGATAATCTCATAATGGCACGCGATACTGTCATAATGGCCSACGAGTCTATTACATTATATAGCCTATAGGCAAAATCTAAACTGCTCTATAGTCTTGACCAAATATTAGGGCGAGAATAGAAAGTCTCTGACGTAGTCCATACTATACCTAGCCAAGCTCGGAAACTAATAATACGATTATGCAGAAATTTGGAAACACCACACCGAGCGAGCAATACTAGACCAACAAAACACAACATTCCGAAGATCTACTGTGTGTGCCACCTTGCAAGAAAGGTAGGTCAAAGGAGACTTGCTCAGATTGTCTTGCGCTTTAGATAAGTCCACCGAGACTTATTGTGGCCCTGGAATCTGCCGAAGCGCTGCCACCTACCACTGCGTCCAACTGCGTCCAGATGCGCCGCTCCGCCATCCGTGCTGTCTTCTTGACCGAGGCAATCCAAAACAACGTGTCCTGAGTGTCCCACGCCCGGCCATTGGGTGTTGAGAAAGGAGCCCCCCCTTTCGAGCAAAAGGCTTAAGGGGAGGACGGCTCCTCTGGTATCTCGATCGTGATAGGTCTGTAGGTCATTATAGATGTCAGGTACAGAGTAAGGAGCTACCAGGATACCATGGCGTAAGAGTGCAAGGCACTCTCTCCCCACTCAAGGGCAAGGCTACGCCAGGGCACTGTCGCCATCACACAGCTATGGTGCCTGGCAGGGTAGGCGTCACGTAGAAAAGATAGGAACCCGAAACGCACACGCCACACCTACGCAGCCGCGACTACCGACGACCGGGCGCCGCCACCGCTGCTGGCGTCGCTGCGTTAACGCACATTCGTGCGACCTCGTACGACATTTGGCTGCCAGTGTTCTGGTTAAAAAAAAAAAGAGAGAAAAGAATTGTGGCATTTTACTTGTCCACTCTCAGCGGAGTTGGAACTCAGGTCTAATACGTTTCTCGGCCTTTTGGTTGGCTAAGATCACGGGACTCTCTCCACTACTCTCGACATGCACACAAGAGACAAAAAATATGGGGGTGTATCTTTCCATGTTCTAGCGGAAGATTCACTCTCGTTTTGCACATTTTGAGAGTTGTGGAGCGAGCCCCCCACCCCAGTGTAGTATCTGTTCTGATCAGTTTAATATCTCGTCGGGCGCTAAAAAAAAAAAAAATAAAAAAAATTCAGGTCTGTATTTCGCCAGTTCAGCGGTGTACCAGCTGAGCTAGTAGTGCCGTTTGGTAGCCCTGGGTTTGAATTCCAATGGAATCTGATGAGTGACAATAACTCTGAATGTACCTGGGGCTGGTCAGTTCGTTGCTGGTATTTCAAGGCCATCGACCTCCCTTCGCCCCCCCCCCCCCACCCCCCCCCCCTTCCCCCCCCACCCCTCCCTTTAGGCTAAAGAAAATCAACGCGCAGTCCTCTGGTCCACTGCGTGGTACAAGACTACCAGGAAGTCGTAGATGCGACTGGTCCACTTGTTCGCGTGTCTGTTTTTTCAGAGATAATGATGTCTTTTGATGATACGGCTTCTTTGACCTTCGGTCGTGTGCTGTGCTGTTTTTTCAGAGATAATGATGTCTTTTCATGATACGGCTTCTTTGACCTTCGGTCGTGTGCTGTACCGCGTGCATTGTGCAGTCTTTGCTATCCTTTGCTATCCAGGCAGACGTGAGCTGGGAACAACTCTGCATTTTTTTAATTATTAGGGGTAACTACGGCGCAGTCACAAAAACAGTTTGTAATTGCAATTGAAACTGCGTTTTAGCAGGTTTTTTTTTTTATAAACTCAATTATATTCCGAAGTCAAAGGTAACCGGGGCCGGGGTCCCCACAATTCAACCCGGATCGAGTCTCTGGCAGCATTAGCCAGTTTCGCTTTTTACGGCACCATTTAGGAACCGGATGTCGTCATCATCTGAAAACTGAAGATCTCAGGAAAGAAAACTGAGACTCACATACTCTGGATCAGGCAATGCTGTCCAAAGCAGGTTGTATTATGGTGAATTATCGCAATTGAGCCCTAGTCCTACAAAGGAAGGTGTCCCATTATCCATTACTCTAACTACTACTAACCAACTATAGTTACGACTGGGGATATGGGTGAGGGAGTGAGCAGAAAGGCTAGGAATGGAATAGCAGACATGACGGAAGGAAAGGGACGGAGAAAGGGGGGGAGCCAGATAGTGTGGATTGGGGGTTAGGGGTATGGGGAGGGGATTGGGTTGGGGAGGGAACTACAATTCTAATGCTAAACTAAACTTATGCAGGGCCTACTTCGGCCCGACCTCGAGCTTAAGACGCTCGGGGGGAACACTAGTTCCTTTCTGTTTCCTGGGTACTCTCCTCCCTGCCCTACCCGTGGGGCCTACCGTGACCGCCGACTGGAACTGAGTGCCCTGGTTCTCCGTTTTAGCAGTTTAGTCAGGGCCCGAGTTTCAATTGCCGTTGAAACTCGGGCTTAGCAGTTCAATCAGGGCCCTCCTCTACCCACGAACAGCAGATTCAAAAAAAAAAAAAAAAAAAAACATCCCTTATGCTGTGATTGCGGTCATATACAGGATGCTACAGTGTTTGTCGGGAACTGAATGAAGCGAGGCACTTAGCTGCCTCGCGTGGAATCCACCCTGCCAGCCGCCCTGCCTGGCTGGCAGGGGGCTACGAGGACCTCACAGAAGAAACAAAAAAGGAAAACGACCTGTTTCAT